TCCATTGTTTCGTTGTGGAAGACGAAGTAGTATTATCAAAATACTTTAGAAACGTCTCAGTTGATTCGTTGTAGAAGATAGTCTAGAATATTTTATATCCTTAAGGTTTTGGAATGTCATTATTTCTTTGAAGAATACGACTAAACTTATACAAATCTTTGGTCTTTTGAAGTGACTCCGTAATTTTACTTAGTAAAATAGGCTAAGAATACTCATACTTATGCCTTTGTAGTATTTTAGTTGTACATGATTTATTGTTTGTTGAAATATATACCTTTTTTTAGTTATATCTGTGTGAGGTATATTAGTATTATGTATAAGTGTGAGCCTTTGAAACTGATTCATTGTTTCGATGCTAAGATAAGCTAGGATTGTTCAAACTCAAGTCTCGGTAGTGTTTTAATGTATTAATAAAAAGTTATGATTTATTACATAATTGACTTTAATGGAGTTTTCACTGTTTTAATTGAGCAAAATGAACTAGGATTTGTACCTTTTTAGAGAAAATTTTCTACTAGGATCGACAGATTACTATTTTAGATAATTTGACACATTTAGTGACTAATTATAGTGACTGTGTATAAGTAAAGGAGCTAAGTTTACTTTGTTCTGTTTTATAAACCTGCGTAATAAGAACTTATAAGCTTGTGAAGTTTACTTCTGACACTTTATTGTACGTCTGTTATGCCTAAAATGTTTTCTTAAATGAAGTTTTTAGTTTTACAAATCGTTTAAGCCTCCCTTTGCTGATTCACTCGAATTGCAATAATATAAGCATATTTATTGGATCACAGAATATTGGTTCCTTATACATGATCATTAATATCATAACTCTACAAATTATCAAACATTTCTCCAACGAAACGTGTTGCCTCGTGCGTGTAGAATTTGTCAGGTTATGTTTTCTGTTAGTGAATGTTTAATTTATTGTTTGCAACAACATTGCGTTTTTAAAATAAATAGTCTGCTGTTTATTTTTCATAATTGCTTCTGAAGGGAAATAAAATTTTTAAAAAGAATTAATACAAGACCTTAGATGGGTAGATAAAAAACAAAAATACCCAAGTTTTACATCCAACAACTACCAATTCTATTTGTTTGTTTGTTGTTAAGCATAAAGCTACACAATGGGCTATCTGTGCTCTGCCTACCACGGGTATCGAAACCTGGTTTCTAGTGTTATAAGTCGGCAGACTTACAGCTGTGCCACTGAGGGGTTGGGGGTGGGAGGGCGTCCAAGTTTCTGACTAATGATGAATATTCTTTATGATATAAAACAGCTATTCAAATATATTCATTTCAAATTTCGAACTTTCTAGCAATTCTTGTTACATCAAACTTTCGTTTTTATTCTTGTTACATCAAACTTTCGGTTTTTTAACTACTAAAACAAGTTCATGGAAGTTAAATTCATATATGAAATTCGTGGTAAAACTCAACTTTCAATCATATAATACCATGCCGCTTCGTACTTCCTCACTGTAGTCTTTACGTTAGTCCTAAAGTATTAAAAAAAGCTTTTATGGAGAGATAAATGGTCACCCGGTGGAACATTGGTAAGTTTGTAAACTTATAACGCTAACATCCGGGGGTCGTTTCCCCACGGTGGTCACAGCAGATACTTTGCTCTAAAGTAAACAACAAACGATCGAGATAATATATGAAGATCCAATTCCTGTTATAAGTTTTGCAATTTTCTACTCTCATCAAGCTGTTGTAGTTATCCAGCAATAATGCTGATAATGCATTGAGCTATGATTTTCGACAGCATAAGGTGTATTATTATTAGAAATCGTGGAATATAAACTACAAGAGTTAGAACATCTTATTTATATTTAATACTTACTGGTAGGAGACATGAAAAATCAAATCTACTGATGTTAACCTCTAACGATTTACCAGTATTCTTTGATATAAATTATGTTAGTTGTTTTTCAACATGAAGATACTCTGAATCTTCATCCTCCTTGTAATAAATAATTTACCAAAAATAGTCACCAGTATCAATGATAGCAGAAGTTGAACCAAACTGACAAGTCATTGTTGTCATAAACGCCCTCTGTTTTGTTGATTTGTCAGTACAACTATATGCTAGCAAACAACAGGACTTGTCCTTATGAGTAATTACGTCATACATTCAGCTTTCTAGGTTAAGTGATAAAACAACATATTCTGAAATTATATATTTTGCTTTTAGTTACTTAGACACATTATTCCATTCACTCGTTTGTTTCTATACCTACTGTTGATTTTCTTAGTTCTGAATTCTCTTTACTAAAAGTTGTACAGTTATATCTTATATAAGCTTTCTTTCAGGTTCGCGCTGTCAACAATTTTCTCTGACACATGATTTCTCTAATAGAAATAGCATCAATAACTTGAGTTATAGCGTGACTGTTTTTTATTGTTATTGTTCTTTTATTTTTTTATGTACTCAGGGTTATAAAAAACTTTCTGCAGGGAGCATATTTTTTCGTCAGTATTGCCATTTCTGAAACTAAAAGCTCTATAGACCCAATGTAGAATCTTAAATGTTCCACGTACTTCGGTAACGTTGTATCAATCGGATACTAATCGTTGTCATGGTTAATACGATCACTTAAATATATAAGAAGATAACCATCAAGAATAAACAGGGAGAAAATTACAGAATACAAATAGCATTGGTTTTCTCTGAGAACATACATAGGATATGTAGACAGCGTAAATTAAGAACAGTGTTCAGAAGCCACAATACAATATGGTGGCAGTTAGTACACAAACCACCTAAAGACCCGATGGAGCGATAAAACGCCATTTAAAACAAATCCTGTGAACGTGGATTCCGATACACCTGAGAAACAAAAAGACCTACAAGCTAGACCTCAGGAGCATAATAAACTCACTAATACAAAGATTAAATCTGGGGTTTGTTTCCCCGCATTGTGGCTTTTGCTTTAAAATAAAGAAACAAACAAAGGAGGTATGTGAAGATCCAATCCTTGTTATAAGTTTTGTAATTTTCTACTATCACCAAGTCGTTGTAGTTATCCAGCAATAATGCTGGTAATGTTTGATACTAGGTACTAATTTGGTAATAGTTTTCCGTAAGCATAATATTTAATGATTTCAATTTAATTACCGTAGCAAATCAATGATTGTGTGTTCTAAAGTTCTTAAAATGACAATTGTCGGGATGTTCAAATAACTGCTCATTATAGTATATTAAAAGCCCCCCAATGACACAGCGGTATGTGTGCGGACTTACAACGCTAAAATCCGGGTTTCGAAACCCGTGGTAGGCAGAGCACAGACAGCCCATTGTCTTACTTTGTGTTTAACTTCAAACAAACCGAATCTAAAAACCTAAGTATATTAAAATCATATTATAAGCAACCTAGAGATACCTCTCTTGAAAAACATTCAAATAGTTAGTTGATTCGTCTTCTTAAAGAGAAGACCCCAGACGAATGGATAACGTACCAGATTTTCGCCAAGAGACCTAAGATCAGTTCCTGGTCACTACCAACTCAGAAATTGTCCTTCTTCGAGTCTTCAACAGATTAGCATCCGAAACGTAGGATAAAACTAGTTAGTAATTAGTATCAATTTATATATGAAAATGAAATTAGCTACGAATTAATAATTTGACTCAGGTGATCCTATTGGCTACTAACGATGACAAGAACTCAAATGTTCTGGCATTTGTTTACATCAGAACTAGATTTAAAATACCAAATCAGAACTAGGTATGCGGTATATGTAATTATGTATTGTTCTTAAACCCATGGAATATCCTAGTTAAATACTCAAGTTACATATATGTGTGTAGATATTTTTGTACCGTTTCAGATATACATTATAATATATACATCTTCCTTGTGTTCTCGTAGAAAATTAAATTATCTTGCCTGTCACCCTCATATTTCCATTACTCCAAAAGTAATTATAATGTTCAGTGGAAACTAACATGTAAACAAATCTCTAAGTAAAGGTATTAAACATTGGAAATTTATTAGGCCATGTAACATTCATACCTTACGGAAATGAATAAGCTGATTGGGCAGAATTTCCTATTTCGAGAAGATCATGACTCCAAACAGACTTCCAAGAAATATCGAGCTTATTTGGAAATAAATGAAGGCTCAGAAGATCTTCAATGAAATGCCCATCACAAAGAACAGACCTTAACCCCATATAAAAATCTGTGCTAATTAGTCTCTGGACATAAAACAAATTACACCAGATATTTGAGAAAATATATAGACACAATGTCACAAAGATTTCAACTTTTTTTTTCATACCAAAGATGGCCACACTAAATATTAGCATTAAAGGAACTTAAAGGCATTATTTCAGTATTAATTTTGTAATAGGTGTCCGTAAGCCTAATCTGTAATAATTTCAAGTTAATTGCTATAGCAAATCAATGACTATTTTGTGTGTGTGTTTAAAGCTCATAAAATGACAATTGTTGGGATGTTCCAGTAATTTTGCACACTATAGTGTATTAGAATCATGTTACCTTTACATTTCTACATTCTTAAAACATCTATTTACTTACTTTAAGTTAGCTAATTTACTCTAACTATATCATTCGCTAACGAGTATATTGAGAAATTTAGAAGCTCACGATTGATTGAGAAACTAATGTAACTACGGTTGAGTTAGTTTGTCATTAGAAAAGTTGAGTCGAACATTGAAAATGTTATTTAGTTTACGAAAACCGTCTCATAAGTGCCTAAAATTTCAAAAACGGTTCTCAGTATGGAACATTGAGCTGATAAGTGTTAATATATTTCGATTCTGTGCCACTAGGGGACCTGGATGCCTAATCTTACAAAAATGTCCTCTATATCTGAATAACAAATAACGCACCATTAGTTTTTTTCTAGTTTCTGAGAGAGTCAAGGTGAAGATCATGATTAATAAGATTGAAAGTTTTTGGCTCAAAAACAAACAAACATAAAAGACAATTGTGTTCGATTTTATTAAGTACGTTTAATATTATTGTGCATATGGCAACTATAATACAACACAGCCTGCAATACATACATTCTAATAACCCTTGACCAAAATCCTATACAGCCAGTACACAATTGATATTACTGCTACGTATATATATGTACATTTAGGATGTGATCGTTTATAGAGCTATTTAGGACTACTGGAGATGGCTGTCAAATTACATATAAGCACACATCGAGCAAGTAAAAAAAAAAACCTTTAGGGATGAACACTTTATGATCTGTAATTTGTACTAAATTTTGTCTCTGATGAATTTCAGTGTGATATTTTAACACCAAAGAGGAAATTATGTGCAGTTTATGTGCTACGCGAGCAACTTTATTATTCGGCATCTACAGGATAATCTATGTCTTAAATGGATACAGATGGAAGAAGTCGTAATCAATATCAGTCTTATATTTTAGTCAAAAATACTTGACTTTAAAATCGAGATAATAATTTTTCGATGATAATATGTGTAAAGTATGCAAAAAAGTGTTTTAAGGGGGGAAAAAATGTGGCAAAAGACCAAAAAACTACTTCAAGATTATTTAAACCTGTACGAAGACGTGATTTTTACATAACCATGTGACAATATTTGTGTAAACACAACCAATCAATTGCGCTAGATAATAACAAAAATATTTATGTGAAAACAAAATTTCATTGAACTAGTATATATTAATTTAGCATAGTATGTATTATTAAGAATTTTTAGTAGTTTTGCCAGTCAGAGGACGCATTTTTACTGTTTTACAGAAAAAAAACGAATATCCGTTGTTTACAGCAATTATATAATCATTATATTTTCACTTTTGATAACAAATATTTTCTGAGATTACGACTCAAAAAAAAAGAAAGAAAATCATCATAAAATGGGATGGTAATGTTTTCACTTCATAATTCAATAATAGCTTTCCTAAAGTTTTCAATATATAATGGAGACAGCCAAGTATGGTATGTATGGAAATAAGCAAAGATCTTTAAACCATTTACCACAAAAGTGGATATATTCGTCTTAAAGATCATGCAAGGAATTATAGAACTCTCCTGTGACCTGATAATGACCACTAAATTCCGTGCTTTAAACTGGATCTCATTCAATCTATTACAAATCCAGATAAAATTTTTACAGCTATGGTTTACCAGATAAATGTTTAGGTTTACACCTCATTCTACTAAGTGTGTTAAAGTACAATCACATATCTATTGTTACAACTTTAATATTTTATTGAGCTTATGAGGGAGATTATTAGAATTAAACACCGTAGCATGCAATTAGATAACTTTAACTATATCCATGACTTATCGAGAACAGTGCCATCCTTGATCGGTTACACATGACTTCTCGAGAACAGTACCATCCTTGATCGGTTACACATGAATTCTCGAGAACAGTACCATCCTTGATCGGTTAAACATGACTTCTCGAGAACAGTGCCATCCTTGATCGGTTACACATGACTTCTCGAGAACAGTACCATCCTTGATCGGTTACACATGACTTCTCGAGAACAGTGCCATCCTTGATCGGTTACACATGACTTCTCGAGAACAGTACCATCCTTGATCGGTTAAACATGACTTCTCGAGAACAGTGCCATCCTTGATCTATACATGACTTATCGGGAACAGTGCCATCCTTGATCGGTTACACATGACTTATCGGGAACAGTGCCATCCTTGATCGGTTATACATGAACACTGCCATCCCTGATCGATCATGATAGTGCGTTTTTCACTTTATTTCTTCAAAATGTGTAGAAAATCCAGAAGACACACTCACTGTGATTAGTATTGCGGAACCATTTCGTTGGGACAGGTGCGAGAAACAACAATAATAACCATTGAATTACCATTCTTTTCTGGTCACAAAGCTTTAGTCAAACTCCTAACATTCAAGTGATGTCTTTATCTACTAATTTATATTGGAATCTTCACAGTTCAGGATACGCTCAGATAGTGAAGACAAATTTCACTAAATTATTATTCCAAAACTGGCCAAAGCTACCACAATACCAGTGACTGTGGACTGTTAATTCATAAGAACGATTCTGTATCCAAGCTTCAAATCTTAAGACACTTTCCGGCAATAAGATCAAAGCTATACTATATTGTCAAAACATTCAAGAAATTTATTGTTTCTTGTAACGTAAGGCTAATTCGTGAAAACATTGTATTTTCCAGACCTCAAGTATTCAGTAATAAGACTCGAACTTGGTATGAGTTCGCCTATGAAGTACAGTTCAAATCAAAAACTATTAACATAATGAATGAACGCCATGCTGGAACGTGACTTCAAATCTTAAGACACTTTCCGGTATTCAAGTTTTAATTACACTTTTTTTTTGCCTGTTGAAGAATCACACTAATAGATACTACCATTCCCTGCATATAATTTTAAGGGTCGATTCATCTAACGTGCTTCAAATCTCTAAACACCTCCACGGAACAAGATTTTAATCCACCATCAGACAATTGATAGTATCCTTTATTATAAGGTTGTTGTCACTGTATACGGTGCCAGTAATTAGTAGCCATTGAAAGATCAGGACCTTGGCTTGGAACCTGAAGAGGAACGGTTACGCCTGGAGAAATTACCCCTAAAATAATGAAAAATTTAAAGTTAGACACTTGTGTATCATACAGGGTTGAGTTTACGTTATATTAAAACTATTCTGAATAAGCAAATCAGCAAGTCACGTGATAACAACAGCTGCTATAATGTCGCGATGGAATTTCCAAAACAATGATATATGGATTAACTTGGGATTTTAAGACCATCAAGAAGGAGATCTGCAACAAGTCGTACCTTAGCCATGGTTAGCAAAGTGCGGCGTCTTGTAACAGGTGAAACATACAAACATAAAGGTCCGTAGCAAAAGCCGTTTACGTGGACCAGGCAACAATACGCAACATAATCAAGAAGGATCTCCGTCTAGTAACAAAGATAACAATGTATGAGCTCCCCAAGATATAAATTTCAGTCATATCTCCCAGCTAACCACTGCATATCTTAAGTAACGGATATGTCTTCATATTCTATACAAAGAAATAAATAAAAACCCTATAACCCTTTTGCAATGGAAAATATGATGTAGGGCTATTCTCAAGATACATGGTTGTCAGATAGAGCATAACTGGTCGTGGTGACGTGGATTGTAACGAGGGGGTTAGGCTCCTAAATCGTTTTAATACAACGTACTCAACCTCAATAACATCATTTTATTCTCCAGGACAGTTTATCATCTAAACTATAATTATATTAGAGCATAGACAACTTTATTAAAAATTCTTCTTGGACACTTGTGTAAAATCATATTTAATTAAATATTCCAGTTAAAGGCAATAACCTTATTAACATCATTTTCTAGACAATCTATTGTTGAGTTTTAGGCAAATTACAGTTCAAAGAATCCGAGCTCTTTTCCAAAACATAATTTTTTTTTCTTTAGGAGTTAATAAGGGACCATTTTTGTTCTCCATATTTGAACATGTAACTCAAAGAAATCGTTTACTCACCTGCTCCATGTGGACTGCTCGCGCTAACAGAATAAGATGCGTGTCCATTAATTGGCTGACTGGGTGTACAAGAAGGTCGAGAATATGATCCTAAAGTGAGCTGATCATGGAACATGTAGGTATAGGAAGAAGGATCACGCTGCTGAAGACAATGATTCGACGCCACGCTAGACGCTGGAGGAACACTATAGAAATTGAAACTTCATTATGCATCATGTTATTGAGTGTTTTTTTTTTTTTTACTATAATCAGTGTGTAACTTACAGCTATATTTTGGTGAACGAACCTTCAAATAGAGCAATAAACATTAACTAACATTTGGAATGGTTTTCATTCTTTAGTCTGGTGTGGTAGTTAGGGCGCTGGACTAGTAATCTGTGAGTCGTAGTTTCGAATTCCCGTCCCCAAACACGCTCGCTCTTTCAGCTGTGGGGGCGTTATAATGTGATGGTCAATCCCACTATTTGTTGGTAAAAAGCTTAGCTCAAGAGTTGGCGGTGGGTGGTGTTCACTAGTGCCTTATCTCTAGTCTATAACTGTTAAATTAGTGACTGTTAGTACAGATAGTTAATAAATCTACCAAGAAGTAGGTCATTGATTTATCAAATTGAGTTATAATGAATGAATCATAAATTTACTAATACATAAATATTGTTTATGGGACTAAACACCAATAAAACTCATGTGGTACTAACGCATAATTATTGTTTATGGAACTAAACCCCAATAAAACTAATGTGGTACTAACGCATAAATGTTTATGGGACTAAACACCAATAAAACTCATGTAGTACTAACGCATAAATATTGTTTATGGGACTAAACACCAGTAAAACTCATGTAGTATTAACGCATAAATATTGTTTATGGGACTAAACACCAATAAAACTCATGTGGTACTAACGCATAAATGTTGTTTCTGGGTATAAACACCAATAAAACTCATGTGATATTTGGATTCCTACAAAGAAAATATACATTAAGACATCATTGTGGAAATACAGCCATAAAAAAAGCAATTTCCTTTATATCATCATACACTTGAACTCCAGTCTACCACACGAAACTTATGTTTAACTTAATATTTCTTGACTGACTTACTAAAAAAATTAAAATACTAAGTTACATGTAGAACAAAGTAAATAAAAAACAGATTTCAATTACGTCGATGTAGCTTACAAATTTAATAACGTTGATCATGATAGTTGACAAAGTTCTCTTATAACTTCTTGTGTCCAACAGTAAAATAACTTGCGGGGTTTTATTTATTGAATTTTTTTTAAATTACACGTTAACTCTCGAATTAACGTGATACGACTAAAGTAAAAACACTAATTTGATCCAATATACCTATAGGAATCTCCCATCCCACCCAAAGGTTGTGCTAGCGAAGGATACATGGAATTATAGAAGGATCCATTAATTGGTAGTCGTCCGTTAGGTGGCGATAGCATAGACGTACAAGCCGGTTGTTCAATCACTCGTCTTTGGTTACGAAGCTTTTCTTCTCGCCGCCATTTGGCGCGGCGGTTCGAAAACCATACCTAATAAAAATGTGTTTAATAAGTCAATGAGTTTGGTAGACATTAAACATTCAATTCTATTGTTAAATGTTTAAAAAAACAAGTAAATTAATGATAAAGAAAATATTTCTAAAGGTTTTAACATTTAAGTTAACAGACGTTTGCTATTAAGCACAAAGCTACACAATGGGTTACCTGTGCTCTGCCCACCGAGGGTATCGAAACCAGAATTTTAGTGTTTAAGCTGTGAGACTTACCGCTGAGCCACCGTGAGACAAATGTATTTTGATAGCAAATAAGAAAAAGCAAATACCAAGATCAAAAATAAATTGCGTCAGCAACTTTCTGCTGCTTTCTGACGCTCAAGTGATTAATTTACAACCAAAGTATAGATGTGGATTGTTCAATATACGTACATCAAATCTATTAGCGGAACTCTACTGCAACAAAGAATGGACCAATCTCATTTTATATAATGTCAGAGTAGTATTTGTAAAAGTAAATTTATTTAGCTAATCCTACCATTGTAATGTTTCGTACAGTATCTCGTACTGACCACCTTTATTTCTACACAACGTTAGAGTTGTATTAATTTGAGTATTGTTTCTTCGTGATCCATGTTAGTAGTGTATTAATTTGAGTATTGTTTCTTCGTGATCCATGTTAGTAGTGTATTAATTTGAGTATTGTTTCCAACACATATTTAAAGCAATTGTTAGCAAAATTACTTTGAAATACGTTGTAACTGAATTTTTCTTGGCTAATTTAGTAGCCTAACAAGAAGATAATTATGTTGCAAACTGGAAACGTCATTCTCCTGTCCCTCTTTTGACAATAGGTTATGAGTTGTTGTTTTTTTTAGAGGACGTAGCCTTGCTTCCTTTAGGGCTCATTTCTTAATTTTAAGTTTCTCATCTACGTGACCTATGTTCATAAGTATACATGATGTAGTTAGATAGGCCTAACAATATATACCAAGCAAATTGTATTCGTTTATTTTTATGCTAATTCTAGGCCTTAAAATATTATTAAGTATATTTTTGTCTTCTTGATTAAAAAAACACGCAACTGATAAAGAATGTTTGTGAGATAACATTTCGCGATGGTTGAAAAAGATGGGAAATGATGTTTTGCAGTGACTGATTAAGGCATGAAATAACGTTTTCGCGATGACTAAACATAACGTGAAATAATAAAACATAACGAAGAGTGCCAAAGAAGTTAAATAGCATTTCGCGATGGTTGAATAAGATGTGAAAAATATTTCGCAGTTCGAATTAAAGTAAAACTTTTACACAAAATCTAAACCTTGATGAATTATAAACTTGTATTTTTGTACATCAGCTTGAGTAAGACAACAATTTATACTTGTTTGTTTAAAAATAATCTTAATAAGGCTAAGAAGTGAAAGCTTTGGTTAAAAAATGCAAATTATCCGAGATACAACTTCAAGAACATTTATGAAGAATGACCATAACCATAACACACGATGACGATGTCGCTATATATACATATATCAGCCCCCCAGTGGCATAGTGGTATGTCTGCGGACTTACAACGCTAGAAATCGTTTCGATACCCGTGGTGGGCAGAGCACAGATAGCCCATTGAGTAGCTTTGTGCTTAATTACAAACAACCAAAAATATATATATATATATACCCGGCATGGCCAGGTGGTTACGGCGCTCGACTCGCAATCTGAGGGTCGCGGGTTCGAATCCCCATCCCACC